AGAGGATAGCTGGCATCTTGAAGCATTAGACTTACAATTGCCTTTCTGATTTTCCCTTTCCAAGCAAGTAGACTGGAATTTTCCTTTTCCTGGCAAATAGATATTGTCCAACTTTCTTTTCCATGGGTTTGTAAATATGGAGAAAATTGGTGTTAACTAGTTTTCACTTCCACTTTAAATTAAGGCAAATATCAGGACTAGTGTAATTATAAAGCTATAGGATGCTTCAAATTTCTAAAAAGGGATTTTTTTTTCTAGTCTTCATTGTCTGGGTGTTTCCAGAGGCTTTTTAGTACAGTAACCATCTTGCTTTGTTCATGGAATTTGTTCAAGATAGAATAGAATAACAGAGTTGGAAAGGACCTTGGAGGTGTTCTAGTTCAACCCGCTTAAAAACTTCCAGTGTTGGAGCATTTACAACTTCTGGAGGCAAGTTGTTCCACTGATTAATTGTTCTAACTGCCAGGAAATTTCTTCTCTCCTTGATTAGTTCCCACCCATTGCTTCTTGTCCTACCCTCAGGTACTTTAGAGAATAGCTTGACTCCCTCCTGTGAGTGGCAGCCCCTGAGATAAATCAGACTACACATACCCAGTTCCAGCAAGTGTTCTTTATATGTTTTAGTCTCCAGTCCCATAATCATCTGTTTTGCTCTTGACTGCACTCTTTCTAGAGTCTCAATGTTTGTTTGTTTTTTACATCGTGGCAACCAAAACTGGATGCAGTATTCCAAGTGTGGCCTTACCAAGGCATTATAAAGTGGTATTAACACTTCACGTGATCTTGATTCTATCCCTCTGTTTTTGTAGCGTAAAACTGTGTTGGCTTTTTTGGCAGCTGCAGCACACTGCTGCCTCATATTTAAATAATTGTCCACTAGGACTCCAAGATCCCTCTACTATCCAGCAAGGTACCACATATATTGTACCTGTACATTTTGTCTTTCTTGTCTAAATGTAGAACCTTACTTTTTTCACCACTTTTTTCTATTTGTTAGATAGCGCTTAATGTTCAAGTTTGTCAAGATCCTTCTGTATCTTAAGCCTATCTTCTGGAGTGTTGGCTATTCCTTCTAGCTTGGTGTCATCTGCAAATTTGATGAGTTCCCCATCTATCCCCTCATCCAGATCATTGATGAAGATGTTGAAGAGTAGTGGGCCTAAAACAAAGCCTGGGTACCCCACTGCATACTTTTACCCATATAGATGCAGTTCCATTGAGGAATACACATTGAGTGTGGCTGGTCAGCAAGTTACAAATCCATCTGGTGGTGATGCTGTCTAAGCCACAATTTTTTATTTTATCAAGTAGTAGGTTATGGTCTACTTTATCAAATGCCTCACTGAAGTCCAAGTAAATTACATCGACAGCATTCCTCCGGTCCACTAGTTTTGTCACTTTGTCAAAGAATGCAATAATATTGGTCTGGCATAATCTGTTTTTGACAAACCCATGTTGGCTTTTGGTTATTACTTTGTTTGCTTCTAGGTGTTTGATGATTCGTTGCTTGATTATTTTTTCCAGAATCTTACCTGGTTTTGAGGTCAGGGTGATAGGTCTGTAGTTTCCTGGATCTAAGATGGTTCTCTCCTTTTTGTATCTTTAAACCTTTTGTGTTTTGTGTTTCTGTCTTTTTCCGTAAAATATCTTTTAACACAGAGAAAAATGGAATAGTTGTATAATGTATTTTGAATGATAACAGTAAGACCTCTCCCTCCAAAAACACTATCTATTTGTGTAAGATTTTTTTTTTAATGAGATCAAATTTGGTACTTTCCATTAGAAAACAAAAGAGCTCTCCCTCTGAAAACACCATCTATTTGTGTAGTATTAAAAAAACGGAGGTCAAATTTGGTATTTTCCATTAGAAAAAGAAAAGAAGAAAGGAACTCAATGTAGGTCTAAGAAAGTGCTGTTCAGTTTTAATATGATTCCTGCTTGTGATTTCTTCAAGTTTTGTTAATCCAGAATTAAACCCAAATGGATAACTATTCCTAACCTCATAGGCATAGCTGTAGCACCATTCAGACATTGGCTACCTGAATCTTCAACCCATAAGCGATCCAATAAATCTTCAGCTATTCATCTATATCCTCAAATCTCAGCAATGTTGGTCTTCACATAGCCAAACTGGCTTCTTTGTAACTAGCAATCTAATAATGAGGGTCTCTGCTTCCATATAAAATAATGATGCACTACTATATCAAGTTTGAGTGCAATATTAAAGTGATACAGCAAAGATCTATAGAAATTTCTTGGTTTAAAACAAAAACTAACAAAAGCCCTTTCTAAGTTGCAATTATTTTGAACATTTTCAGTTAGACCTAATTTCTTATTAATCTAAACTGACTCCAAAAAGAGAGCCAGTTTGGTCTACTGATTAAGGTGCCAGATTAAAAAGTGGGTTCTCATGAATTCAATCCTGCCTTAGCCATGAAAGGCAGCTCAGTGACTTTGGATCATCATTTCCTCCCATCCCAACTCACAGGATGGGTATTGTAGGGAAAATAGGAGGTGGTAAGAGTATTGTGTGTATTGCCACCTTGAGTTATTTGTAAAAAAATAAATAAATGCAGGAAATAAATAAATATTAAAAATGGGTTAAGATTTGGTTTTGTTTTGGAGCTGGTGAACATATGGGGAGGTGGAGGGAGCTGGATGGGGAGCAACGGGTTGAAACTAAACTCTTGCAAGACCAAGTGGCTCTGGGTTTGTGGTTCGTTGGCTCAGGGAGAATTGCCACCTTTGGTCTTGGGTGGGGTGGCACTACCCCAAACAGACCCTGTGTGTAATCTAGGGATTTTCCTCGATTCACAACTCCTGCTCGAAGAGCAGGTGGCAGTTGTGGCCAGAAGGGCCTTTGTGCAACTGCGGGTTATGCACCAGTTACGCCCTTTCCTGGACCACTGCCCTTTCCTGGACCTACTCATGGTCACTCATGCCCTAGTCTCTTCCCATCTTGATTATTGCAATGCACTCTACATGGGGCTGCCCTTGAAGAACATCCAGAAGCTCCAGTTGGTGCAAAATGCAGCAGCCCGCTTGGTTTTGTGCAGACCCCGGTGTACACATGTGTCACCTCTCCTGCAGGAGCTGCGTTGGTTGCTGATTTGTTTCCAGGTGCAATTCAAGGTGCTGGTTGTCACCTTTAAAGCCCTTCATGGTTATCTGAGGAAACATCTCTTGCCTGTCACATCTACCTGACTCATTAGAGCATGGAGGCAGGGAATGTTGCGGGTTCCATCCCTAAGGGAGGTACACCTGGTAGGACCCAGAAGAAGGGCCTTCTCCATGGTGGCTCCCTCTCTCTGAAATATCATTCCCACAGAGATAAGAATGGCCCCCACTCTAGCATTCTTCTGAAAAGCACTGAAGACCTGCCAGCAGGCCTAGGGAACCCAGAGCAGAATGGAGCCCATCAAATGGCTACTGTGATCTGCTATTGTCGGGGCGGGGGTTGGGAGTTGAGGGGTGATTTTCCCCCCCTCCCCCCAGATTTTGTTCTATTGTACTTTATTAATTTATTTGATTCTTTTTGTTAGTTTTTATTGTTTTTTATTTTTTGTTTTAAATTAGGTTTTGCATTGTGTAAGCTGCCTTGAGTTGCCATGGGCAAACTAGGTGACAATATAAATTAAATAAATAAATAAAATAAAATATCTGTCTACAGGTAGTCCTTGACTTACAACAGTTCATTTAGTGATCATTTGAAATTACAATGGTCTGAAAAAGTGGTTTACGACAGTTTTTTTTACATTTATGACCATTGTGATTAAAATTTGGATGCTTCTTGGATGAAATGTCTTCAAAGAAAAAAACAGAAAGTCCACTTGCCTCTTAAAAAAAGCACCTTTAGGACAACCATGACCTGGATGACTGAGAATCACCATAGACATTCAATTGGTCTTAAAACCAAACAAAGCTATGGTTGAAGAGAATAAGTCTGAGACAAGAATCTCGGATGACACTTCTTGGTTTTGCCTTTTGTGCTGTGAAGGCCAGTAAAAGGAAAGAAATTAAGCTGTTAGATAGCATTTATAACTTTTGTCATATATCCATAGATGCCTTTGTCAAAATTATTGTACTGAAGAGTGAGTTCAATATAAATATCTTGATATATAGTCTATTACTTAATAAGGCTTATATTTGGATCTCCTCACCAGCTGGGTTCAACCTGTCCAAGGTGTCTTTCTCAGGAGAAGTGTTTCCAAGAAATGATGGATGTGGGGTCTGGAACAGAGGTGGTATTCAGCAGGTTCTGGAGAACTGGTAGCAGAAATTTTGTGTAGTTCAGAGAACCGGCAAATACCACCTCTGACTGGAGATTTTACAGTATCCTTCCCCTGCCGGGCCCACCAAGCCACACCCACAGAACCGGCAGTAAAAAAAATTGAATCCCACTACTGGTCTGGAAGTGTTATTTCTCTGAGATGATCTTAGTCCTGGAGATGACATTGGCTGCACTGATGATTATAGACCTTCTGAAAACTACTACAAACTCCAGTGCACTTTGTTCTTCTGTTTCAGATCAATTCATTTGGGTGAATTAAGGTATTGGCAGGGTTGTGCTATGTAACTTTAAATTTAACTTTATTTTAATTTACTGTGGCTGTTTTATTGCAATACTTTAGAATTGCTGTGAAGTTCCAAGGTTCCTAAAATAGAGCTGTAAATAAATAGTTTTTTTTAAAAAAAAAACTGTACAATTGTTTTAATAATGAATCTTACCGATTGAATCTATATAAATTCTTCAGTCTTGATTAGACTTGATAGTGCTGACAAAAAATAATATTCATTGGCTGCTTATTGCTACAAAGATGAAAGGTTGGATCCAGTCTTTCATTATAATTAAAGGTTTCCTTTGTATTTAATATGTTGCATAAAATAAGGCATGTACTTTTAATAATAGTGGAAACTTTCTGGAATTATTTGCAGTTACATTTTGATAATTTTTTTAACAAGTAAGCAATTAATTGATTGCAGATCTTTTTCCCCCCTAGGCAAAGGGGATGTCTTTGGTGATGTCTTCTGGAAAGAAACAACTCTTGCCCAGTCGTGTGCGAATGTAAGGGCTTTGACTTACTGTGACCTTCATGTAATTAAAAGGGATGCCTTACAGAAAGTGCTGGAGTTCTACACAGCCTTTTCACATTCTTTCTCCAGGAACCTCATCCTGACCTACAATTTGCGAAAAAGGGTAAGGTATTATGGAATGGGTGGAAAGAAGAGCTAACAGCTTATTGGAATTGTACTTTTAAATAATAAACAGTATGGATGGAAAATTCTTAGCATGCTAAGTGTACTACATCACACTATAGTTTCCAAGTGTTCTTGCAAGAAGAAATTATTTATTTATTTATTTAGATTTGTATGGTTGCCCAACATGAATGATTGGCATACTTTACATTAGTAAAACCAACGTACAGCCAAAACCAGTGACATCAACAGGAACCAAGCAACACCGTACATTAGTAAAACCCAAATTACAGCCAAAACCAGTGATGTCAACAGGAACCAAGCAAAAATCAGCATTCAGATTAGTCAACTTTCTGTTATCACACCATTTGAGTGGAAAGCCAAAAGGTGTACAATTATGATCTCAGTGCAGCAGCCGTCTGAAATTATTGAAATTCTTGGTGAGAACTCTGAACTTCATGAACTAGGGAAAAATATTACTTTTAACTTAATTGTTTATTTGATGTGAAAAGCCTCTGACCTTTTCATGGTTCATTGATTCTTGATTCCAGACTCTGTCTTGCTCTTTAAAGATGTAAACAAATCAGAGGCATGGTATTTTTTTGTTCCAATTGTGTCCTACCAATTTGCATGGTGGCAAAAGACAGAGCATGGGTTGAAGGCGAGAATTACTGGGAAACATCTAGAATATGTTTCTAACTGCTCCTTGGAAAACTGTTTCATGTGGTTAGATGTACACAGCAAAATACGCAAAATTATTACCTATCTCTTTAATCAATAACTCAGCACATCAGGATTTATTTTTGTCTGAACATGCACATAAGCTGAGCTGAAAGGGATTCTTTTCTGTTCAGTAGCATCAAAAATCCTTTCATCTTTGGGTAACTTATTTTCTTCTTTATGGAGAATTATGTTAATTTACGGTAGGAAAAAAATCAGGCATCATCTAGGTGTTTAAGTGTATTAAAACACAGGCATTTTTGGGAGCAGCTCACACCTACACTCCTTCTAATTGTTTCTGTTTTTGACAAGAGAGAGCTAGAATGCTGATGAGATTGGTGTATGGAGAAATACATCCTTTTAGCGTCACTTCATCATGTTCACTCTGATTCATAATGAACTGGGATCACTCATGTCACCAATTCCAAGAAGCTTTGTTCCCATTCTTAAAGGATTTATTTTTTTGCTTTTCCATCCTGTCTTATCTGTTTTTCCTGATTATTTGGGATTATCAGTAAGAAACATCTAAATACGGTATTTAGAAACAAACGGTAAAACTCACTGAAATAAGAACAAATACCAGTGAACAGAAAATTTAATGATCTCCCAAGTTGGTAGCTGTGGAAAATAGTTTATACTTAATCTTCCCCAGCGTATTTATTTTTAATACCCAAATTAAGTATATAAACATTCAGGATAGTTTTAGCAAGTTTCAGAAGAGCAAGCCATTTAACAAATGCAACTAAAATAAAGTGTATATATCTTTTATTTAACATACTATTCAATATGTGGACCATGCACCAATGTTTCTGTTAATACTCCATGACAAAATGAGTACAAAATTTTAGAGTATTTACAAAATTTTGTAGCAATTTGAAATTTTACAACATGCAAGCATGTGATTACTGGATTTATCTTATTGGAGAAAGCTATAGACTGGTTTGGGTGTTGTTCAACATGTGCAATAAGTCATGTGACACAAACTACATGCTCATGTTATGATATTTTACAAAAGAATCAGTCCATAATGGATTAGCCTTCACCACTAATGGTTTGAGATGTACTACCCTATGCCTTTGTATATATATTTATTTTTCTGTAACTTTCTGCAAAATTCTTATGAGTAGAGATGGCTTGTGCCAATATTGACATGGTTGTATTCTGTTAGGTCTGAAACTGTTCTTACAAATTGGAAAATACATTTTCAAAATGTATGTTTTTGTTTGATGAAACAAAATACCTGACAAAACAAAATATCTGACAAAATTGTTGCAGCCATTTTTTCCCCACCAGAATGGTAGATCTATATAAACTTGGGGGGGGGGGAGCAATTCCAAAAGTAAAACTTTTGATTAGCAATGTGCAGTGATTTTAGCACATTTTTTTATAATAATTCAAATTCAGCATGGAATTACTTTGTTTACAAGTTAATTAATTAGTTTACAAGTTTGAGTGAAACAAAATCATTATAGAATAATATACAGTATATTTTAGGCTCTTTCCAGAGAAAAGCTAACATTTATTAAAATTAAGTTGGTAGCAAACATTTAATAATGTCATTATTTAGCCTTCTGGAAAGAACGAGCACTAAATTGAGCATGCAATAGAGTAGAGTTGAATTCTGACACATTTCAAATAAAGTTGTTTGCTATAACATCAGATAAACATTTTTTCAAGGCTCAAGCACATTTCAGAAGAAGATGTATGGAATAAATCAGCCCACATATTGCATCTTCCCTTTTCTCTCCTAAAATATATTGCAAAACTGTTTCAATATATTTCTGTGCATACTTTGTTGGGTGCAAAGCAATGCAGTATTTTCACTAATATTTTTCCTTACTTTATATATTTGCACCTGGGTCATATTTGGTGGCATCCACATATCTTGTTTATGATATTTCTTGGATCTATGAATCCAGTTCTTTGCAGAGTCTGATGGGTTCCTTATGTACTTATAAGTTAAAATAGTCTAGGTTTGTTCCATTGTTTGGAAATAATATTGTTAAAAACTATTTTTGTAGCATAATAGCGGGTAGACAAAATGGTCACATATCAGGTGATGGATGAATTGGAAATAATCTGGATGCAACCGTTTAATTATTGCATGGGAACTTGTGGCACTCAGCATAAAGTTGGCAATTTAGTGCCCTTTTTCAGTACAATGCATAGATAAGCAGAAGTTAAGTAGACATTTGTCAAGATGTTTTAAATTTCATTCGTGGGCCAAGCAATAAACTAAATTCAGTGCCTAAATAATCTTTTCCAACTCTTTTGATTGTGCTTGAATTAAATAAATTAAATAAATGACAATAAGATAAAAAGACACCAAAAAGAGGACAAGTGAATTAGTGAAAAAACAAATAACAAGTTTGCAGACTAATTGCTTCTGAGCAGCAAGACAAAAAAAAAGGTCAAATCAAATTACCAAATCATCACTAGCTTTATGCTTATCCACTGAAGAACCTTTGTGTTCTGTGTTCAGACTGTTGTATGTAGTATATAGCAGGGGTCACCAATCTTTTGGACCTCAGGGACCACCAAATCATAATTTTAAATCCCAGGGACCACTAACTGGTTTTGTTGGCATGGCCTAATTTGTATGTGTGGCTTGGTGGTCATGGGACTGGCTGGGCATGGCTTGTATGTAAATATTATAAATATTTATATAAATATTGAATTTTTTATTTAAAAAGAGCAACTGTTACCCAAAATCAGACAAAGCAGGCAGGCAGATTGAGTTTCTCACAGAATCATTCATTGATCTATCTATCTGCCATCGGCTACCTGAGTCTGTCACGTAAAATTTGCTTGCTGTGAGTCTGCACTGAATAATAGAACCTTCAGTCCTAAGGGAGGTTCGACAGTGCTTAAAAGCAGAGCTGAAGATCTAAAGACTAGCTAGAAAGCAAGAAATGTAACCATTTCCTGCTTCCTGGGTAACAGCTGATGGTCAAAAAAAAAAAAAAAGGAAAAATAGCAACTTAGCAGGCAAGTTTGCCAGGTAAGGAGTGTGTGGGCAGGGAGGGTTCCTGCGGGCCATGTGGGTGGCGCAGCCTTGTGTTCCTAAACAGCCTGGATTAATTGATTTGTGGGGGTGCTCTGGGGATGACATTTCTCTGTGGCCCATCAAAATTTTCTTGCAGTCCACCAGTGGGCCATGGCCCACCGATTGGTGACTGCTGGTATATAGCAATAGCACTTAGACTTATATACTGCTTTATAGTGCTTTACATACTGTAAACATTGTAAAAATTGAAAGAGACAAGATCATTGGGGGTTTGATGTTATAGCCACAAAATATGGATGAAATAAAGAAATATACGAAAGTAGGAAAAACTCATACTGTATTTTGCACTTTTACTTTATTGTAAAAATATGTAGGGAAGACTTAGCTTTATATGACAACTTTTTCCACTACTCCACTATTTCTTCCCTAGAGCCTCAGAGCTGTTGCTCCTGCACTCTGGAAGGTTGGTAAGGTTGATGTAAGGTTGGCCCCAAATTCTTCCTATCTTTCCATAAGGGCCTAAAGACATGATTTGGCCAGTAGTCTTGGGTCCCCAGTGGGGGAACAGCCCAATGGAGGTGGTTTATTGAGTAATAACAGTCCTACCTCCCCTCCACTCAGCCCCTGTCCTCCTCATGTGTTTCTGGTTTTAATGTCTGATTTTAACTTTTTATGTTTTAACCAAAATTACTATAAACAAACAAACAAACAAATTCCAGATTGATATTGATTCTGGAGCAGTTTGGGAAATGGAGGGTTTTGGAGTTACCAGAAGTAGAATAATTATTGAAGCACTCTGTTTTAGAGCTACAACTGCTGAGAATGCTTTTGGTTTTTTTTTTAAACCTTAGAGACAGATGGCCTGTAGACTACATTGTGTTGATGGCCTCACAATCTGGATACCACTGGTGAATATCTCTGGCAAATTGCCAAACAACAAAGCATGGATTTTTGTTGCTTTTTAATAGGAAAGCAAAAGAGATGTTTTAATTCTCCAACAGGCTTAATATATCTACAGATTTTTTTCTGTTTCTTTTTTTTTATGATGGCAGAAAGTCATCTGAAAAATTCTAGCCTCCCTTCCTGTTATATCATTATTATGCCTCTGTAGCTTTTGGTTATCCCTGAGCAGTGTTGGGATTCAATTTTTTTTACTACCGGTTCTGTGGGTGTGGCCATATGACTGGGTGGACGTGGATTTTTTTTTTTGCTTTTTTGCAACCAGCCCCACCCATTTTTGGAGCTTTCTGGGTCTCAGAGGAGCCTCTAGGGGG